AGAAGGACCCATCCACTACCACCCTCTGGGTGCGACTCTCTAACCAGTTGGTGACCCATTGGACTGTATGGGTGTCTACACCACAGTCCCCCAGCTTCCTAATGAGAAAGGGGTGAGAGACAGTGTCAAAAGCCTTCCTGAAGTCTAGGAAAACTATATCCACTGCCACCCCTGCATCAAAGTTCATATAACAGTAGCTGGATGCTTGATGATTCCCAGGCCTTAAGCATGATTTATATTCCTGAACTTTGCTTTAAAAGACAATTGTACTTTTCATATGTTAGCCTACCCTAGGTTATTTTGAGACCCTGTCAACTCTATGGACTTGGATTACAGACCAATTCAGTGCCCTTCCTTATCATCTTTCAAATGATATTTTTAATTTTCATTCTGAGGGCAGCTGTTACGGTGGCATTTTAATTAACCAGTCTTCTGAGGTTTAGGACTGTCACTGAATGGCACTTCAGAAGATCTCCTTTCACCTGAGCAGTCAGTTTTTACACTTACTAGATGGCCTTTCCTGCTTTCTTTGCACTTTTTAGTGCATCAAATGGGTTTACTCGAGTATGAAATCTTCCCCTGGCCCATTTTGCTTTGTCAACTCTTCCTTTGGTGACTTTGTTATTGCACTCACTCAACTTCCCTTAAGATTTTTTATTTATGTTTCTATTTGTTCTGCAGTGTGGCACATGGCCATTGCCCTTTCTAGTGTCATATTTGTCTCTCTCAGTAATCACACACAGACTTGTTATCTTTAACTGGTAGCTGCACCAAAGGCTAAGGCTGCAGTAGAACAACTAGGATTAACTCCTAAATTCCCCTTCCAGAACTGAGAGTTACCCGACTGAACTGAGTGAGCAGAACAAACAAAGAACTTTGTACCGAGCAAGATAGCATTGCAACATGCTTATTTTAAAGGAGCACATGTAACATGGTAGAAATCAAGTTGATAGTGGCTGTGTCTACACAAGACACTGACTGTACAGTTGTTATTGCACCAAAAAGTTGACAAACACCTTGTGATACTACTGCGCAGTAGCCTAATACTACTGTGCAGTGGTGTGACATCATGGTTGTTGTTACACAGCGCTACTTCTCAGTAGGATTGGGCTATGGTGCAATCAGCATCTCATGTAGACACCACCAGTGGAAATTAATTAACTGATATGTGGTTATATATGTAATTGATATCTTAGCCTGTATGGTGTTAGTATGATTGAATCATGTTATGACTGGTAAGAAAGCAAAATGTATAAATACCCAATATGCACCCAAAAAAATGAAATTAATCTATCCCTGCTTTATTCTCTGCTACAACAGTCTAATCAGTTGTTTGATGATGATTAAAAGCTGTTCCAGTAAAAAAAAAAAATGGCTTCTGCTTCCCATGTTTAAAATTATGAACCAGGTTATGCTGGCTGCAGCAGCTGCATCCCAGGATAATCTGGTCTGTTATCTCTGAGTCTCTGTGTTTCATCTTCATTGGCGCTGACTTTTAGATTCAAGTCTGTGGCAAACTCTACTGTTTCTCCTCCCTCCTGGGCTCTTATCTTGAATGTGTACCTTTCATAATTGATATTTTTTCTAGGAGCATGATGGCCCTTAAAAATTTCCTAATATTTGGATGCGATTCCTTCCGTTCTCTTTTCCCTGCTGCATGAAAGGCATTATATATATTCACTCAGTGCTTCTTTGCCTAAAACTTGTTAAGGGTAGAGCAAGCTTTTACTCTTGCTCTAATTTATATAGGTTGTGACTTTCATGTGCAGCTCAAATTGCTATATGAACCTGTTCCATGATATCCTCTATTCCCTTTGATGCACAGGTGTAGCAGGCCAAATCCTAAAACTTGAATCCTGCTAAGATAAATTATGTCTCTGGCCCATGTGGACAGGAGGGTTAGGATAAATTAGGCTGACCAGCAGTGCTGGCATCCCTTAGACATTGCCAGGTGGGAACCTAACCTGACTTTCAATGGTGTATTAGAAACACAAAGAAACAAGATTAGGGGTAGAAAATATGAAGAAATGTATGAAGAACAACAGGGGAATTAAAATAAAAGGGAAAAGATGATAATAACAAGGTGGGTAAACAATGAGAAATGCACACAACAATGATACAGTAATACTTGATCAGATATCAACAACTAATGAATGGCAATCAACTCGAAGAACTGGTCAGAATAACAGCAGTGTCAAAACAGTAGCAATGCAAAGGTCAAAATTGGTTAATCGGTCCAAGAAGTTCAGAAGAACCAGACAGGCTGGGGGGCAGGAAGATCACCAGAAACAGGACCTTTAAGCAAAGCTGCTTCTCACCCTCCATGGGGAGTTGCAAGACCACTTATACCACAGTCTCACAGAACCAAACACAGCCAGGCACAGCTCTCTCTCATATAGCTTCAGACAGCACAGCCTCTCACTTCTATGCACACCACTCAACAGCCCAAACCATTCAAACATCTCAGGAGCACCAAACTGCAGGTTTTATTCATCCAAATCACACCACTTTCTCCAACCAATCAAGTCTGGGTAAAGGGCTGTTAATCACCATTAATCATGCGTTTACCAATCAATCTCACTGCTACTAGACCCATTCACTTGTCACACAAGCCAGATGCTCACCTTTACCTAGAATCCAATCATATATTTCCCACCAGACACTCTGACTTATCTGCACATGCCCATGCTATCTAACAAGGTCAGTGGGTCAGAAGATCAGGAAGTTCCAGGTACCAAGTACCAGGCTTCTGCTGGTAGCTGTAACTGCACATGCTCAACTTTAACTGTGACATCAATTAATTATTAGCAAGCTGGCACAAAACCTTCCACTGCTACACAGGGACTGTGGTGTGTTTACTTGCACTCTCTAAGAGTCATTTTGCATTACATCTCAGGCACACTGTGCCTTTCCCTCCTTCAACTATGGAGTATCTTTAAAGATGAGTCACATGGTGCAAACACTGTTATATACAACGGTGGTATGTACAAAACTATGCACAGATATGAGCTGCATGTATTAATGCTGCTCTGAAGAGGAATCAGGTGAGGCAACCTTTGTCCTGTTTTGCAACACAAGGCAGTGTAAGCCAGCCCAACTCTCATGTTTCCCTTAGAGATGCCACACTTCCTGAACACATTCCATTTCCAGGAGAATTTACTCTGTGGCACAGTGACTTGGACATGCACTGTCTGCAGCTTTTCATTTTCAGCTTTGGCACTGTAGACTGCTTGTGAACAGGACACAGTTTGATCTTTGCAGTTTATTTGAAATTGCTAATATACAATTTGCTAGGTGTGGCAATTTTGAATAATTTGGCATTTCACAGAAGATTGACTTGATTTAAAAGCTAAGGGACTTTCCAAAGTTTGCCTTCTGTGCTTGCACTCATTTTCAACAACTACAAAGCTTCAGTCATGGTCTGTCTCTATCCTTATGTTTCCATTATTGCTTGTCTTCTCTTTGCCTTAAAGTTCTGTGCCTCTGACAGCTATGTTGCAGCAGTGTATGAGCATGTTGTTATATTGCCAGAGCACACTGACATTCCTGTTTCTCCTGAAGAGGCTTTGGCATTGATGAACAGAAATATGGATGTTTTGGAAACAGCCATCAAAGCAGCAGCACAGCAGGTATTGTCCAATGATTATGCTGTAATTATAAGTCATCCTGATTTTGTTGATAGCTGTTTTTTATATTAGTCTCTTCCTGTTAGGGGGCACATATCATTGTAACTCCTGAAGATGCTGTTTATGGCTGGCATTTCAAAAGAGAAACCATTTACCCCTTTCTGGAAGATATCCCAGATCCACAGGTGAACTGGATTCCATGCACAGCCCCTGAAAGGTATGGCTTATGTAGTGTGGTAAGTAGATATAAAATCATGGGTAATGGTTCCCAAAGAACTGGACTAATGAAAAATGCAAAAGATCAGGCAGGTCTTTTCAATTCAAGAGTTTTGTACACAGCAGTTAAATATCCTAATGGGTAAAATTTCCTGATCAACTGAACAGGAGATTCAGATGGAAATGAATGCTTTATAAATCAGGTGTCATGTCAGTGCTCACTCAATGACTGATCCCATGTGTACCTATCACAGGACCTCTTCCCCAACTCACCTGCAATGTCTTGATATAATTAAAATCTCTAAGGAGGGGTTCAGTGGTATAGATGGATATGTTTCTGCTAGGGGTACTCATGGTTTTGATGTGGTTGAAGTTGGGGCTCTGCCTCCCCTATACCCCAGCCATGCACCAACCATCGGTGTTGAGGCTTTATGATATTGTACTGGAGCTTCAGCCTTTTTGGTTCCACTCAGCAGTGGTCAACTTATGACCGTTCTTCTGGCACTTTGTGGATTGCTGCTGGGATTTGAAGGAGTTTACAAGGCCCTCTCTTGGCCATTCATTTACTCCCCGCTTCTCTAGGCACCATGCCTGAAGCTGGCTCTGACTAGAGGGACCAGGGATACACTAGCCCAATGAACTTATTCAAATTATGAATAAAGAAAATAAAGAAGAAAGCCTCCTCTATGGAGGAGCTATCTACAAATGGGCTCAGAATCGCCCCTTTGGATTTATATTATTTTTCTCCCCTCCTTCAGGGGATCGCCCCTGAGCTGGGCTGGAGCAGCCCCTTCTGCCTCTGCCTAGTGGGACCTTCCTGTCCCTGGCTAGCAGGGCCCTTATTGCCTGAGCACCTCACTGCCTTGGTGCACCAAGACATCTTCCACACCCTGGCCTCCACTGGCCTGGTGGCAGCCTCATACCCTCTTTATGGCACTCCCAGTGCTTTATAAACTTCCCATAGCAGTGCCTCTGGCTGACATCTTCAGTCAGGCACTACCTAGTTTGGTTGAGACGGTGCTTATAAACCAGCACGGCAGCGCTGCACATTGCCTCAGCTCCATCTCTCCCTGTTCTCCTGGTAAGCTTTTCTCTCTCCTCTCTGCCTGTCCTGTTCAGAGTCAGCTGGTGCTGCCAGGGTACTCAGGAGCTTTGCATGGGCTCCCCATCACACCAGGTATTTAGCAAGATGGATTCCTTAGTTTGATTACTGTGTACAGCTTGTTGAAAAGTCTTGAGGCAATATCACCATAAGTGCTTGAAGAAGTTTGGCTGTCAGGATTTGCCACCTTTATATTCCATTCTCCTTGTGTAGTACTTTGAATAGAGGAGATGATCAGGCATTTTGTGCCAAAATATTTTTCATCAGAAATTGTTGATATTAAATCTTTTTTTTTCAGGAGGGAGGGTAGTGAGTATGTACAATTTTTGGTGAGGCTGGAATTTTTGGTCAAAACGAGAGACAGACCAGTATCCTGTTACCTAGGGGCTAAAGCAGTCCTGGGGCTGTGCATGACCAAAGTTTGACCACATCTTGTCTGATGCAAAACCTGAACCATTGAAGCTAAGTTTGACTCCCATCAGTGGGCTTTTGGTAATTATGGTCTGTTGTTTTTCACTTCAAGAATCACTGTGTGCATCCCAATTGGAACACAGGTTTTGAAATCTTAGTTCTCCACAAAATGGGAAAATCTTTTCCTGCTTAGCTCTGACTGTTAGTATTATTTATCAGTGTGTGCTCATCAGATACTCTCAGGTGGTCATCATGAGGCCTTGGTGGGAGAGATGTAAAGAATGTCAGAAGGCTGCAACAAATTGAATTAAAACATTAAGATTTTCTTGTGTTACTTTAGTACCATAGGCCACAGCGATCATTGAAGAGAGCAAGCTTTCCTCCTAGATTCCTTCCCATAAGTAGAAAAGACATCAGGGAGTGGAGAATAAGACCTATTTATTTGTATTAAATATTTATTCTGTAGTACTAGAGGTGCAGTGGCAAAATAGAATGCATTAATGCTCCTGAATTTAAGCATTGTTCTGGATCTGAGCTGAAAACTGATGCCATTGATCCTAGTTCTAAAAGGGTATTTGGTTATTTGGGCTGGGAAGTCATTGATGTCTAGATGTGAATGCTAGCTAACCCAATATCTTGTTTGCTTTTGGCCAAGGAAGCCTGGTATGCCAATAGCCCACCTAGGTACAGACCTTGACTGATTGTAAAAAATCCAGTTCGATTTTGGGCCATACTTCTACGGTCTCTACGAGTACATGGGAAGAATTAGACTGTTCCAAGTCATTCAAAATTTAAGGCTGAAATTCTGCATTGGATATATGAGGGGAGACATGTCATGAATTGCACTCCAGGGACCTGGACACAGGCTTGAGGAGTCTGTCTGCCCTGCTCCAGTCATAGGATAAGAAAATAAACAGTTTCTCTTGGGATTTTTCTTAACACATGCTACACTTAATTCCAAGTTTTCATGGAAATGTGAACTTGTAGAACTACCTCATCCCTTTTACATTCTGAAGTTCTGTTTTGATTCTGAATTATTTTCTTTATTTCCCATTTTTCCTTTTCTCCAAAAATGGACTAGATTTGGTCCTGCCCCAGTGCAGGAAAGGCTCAGCTGCATGGCAAGGAACAACTCCATCTATGTGGTTGCCAATATTGGGGACAAGAAGGCCTGCAATTCCAGTGTTCCCCAGTGCCCCAGAGATGGTCACTATCAGTACAATACTGATGTTGTCTTTGATTCAGAAGGGAAGCTGGTGGCACGATACCATAAGGTAAGAAATAGCCTTGCCCAAGTCAGTCACTGACATTTTTTTTCAACTTCTTAATCTCTCACTCTAATTCTGGTGTACCTGAACCATATAAATGTCTGATAGCTGGGTATGCACATGCCTAAGTGCTTTCTTTCTTATGCTTGCTTTTCTGTTAATTTTTTTAAATATTACTTCCTCATGGCGCAAGGTTTTTTGTGGGTGATATATTTTTTTGGACCAACTGCATAGTCTGGGGAGATTTAGACAAGCTTTTGAGTGCAAGAAACTCTTCTTCTGCAGTTTGGCCAATAGAAGATATCATCCACAAAAATCCTTGCTTCTCATATATCTGGCTACAACACCCCTGCAACACTACTAAAAATATTTTTACCAGGTTATAGGATATTTTCAGGTAATGGTACTAGCAGCCTTTAATGACTTTCTTTTCAATTTTTAAATAGTATAACCTCTTTATGATGGAAACACAGTTTGATTACCCCAAAGAGCCAGAGGTGGTCACATTTGACACCCCGTTTGGAAAATTTGGCATATTCACATGCTTCGACATCCTTTTCCATGACCCAGCTGTGATCCTAGTGAGCAAGTTACAAGTGGATACTGTGCTGTTCCCAACTGCCTGGATTAACGTTCTACCACATTTAACTGCTATTGAATTCCACTCCGCCTGGGCGATGGGTATGCAGGTCAACTTCCTTGCAGCAAATACACATAACATCAGCATGGAGATGACAGGTAAGTGCATGGTGAGATACCTCCTTGGGCCTGGGACTCTAATTGTGTAGATTATTATGTGCAGAGTTATATATTTCTTCTGGAGTCAGAGTTGTGGTTCACTGTCTCCTACCCCTTACGTAGCCTCATCCTTAGCTTGCAGAGTTACTGCAGAGCAAACACACAGAGATAATTTTGATTTTCCCCTTCATTGCTTCCTTTGTTCCCTTTGCTGTGTCTCTGGTGTTGCCCTAAGAATGAGGGGATATCTGGTTCTCCTCCCAAATGGTGAGAGAGCAAACAGCAGGATCAATATCACCTTAAAGTATGCTTCAGTTTTCTCCAAACGAGAACCTATTTATCTCTTCCAAATGAGGACTCGGTTATCTATTTCCTGCAAACAAGGAACCAGTTATTTCCTCCCAATGAGGACGCAGTTAGCTATTTAATAAATCAGTTTTATTGAGCACTATAAAGTATTAACTCCAACCATGCATATAGATATAATCTTAGCAAGCAAGTAATTGCATATTACCAGTCCTAATAACACACAACTCGAGAGGTGGCCAAGCGTCTCCGAGTGGGCTCTGGTTCTTTGAAAGGACAGGAAATGTTTTCAGTTCTCAGGCATTGTTAGGGGGAGGAGGATGGAAAGAGGAGAGATAGGAAGGGAAAAGGGGGATAATATTTATATTCCTTTAGTCAAGTAGTTTCCAATTAGGCCAACTTTTCTGCTTTTCTTCAACAACTTGTCTTCACTTTATCATTGTTTTTCTCTTCTTCTTGGTACCAGGAGCCATTTACTTCAGATATGGGTGGAATACACCATAACAAACCCTTTTATCCATAATAGGCATTTTTATCATCAGACTCTTGCAGAAAAACAAGCTGCATCAGACTCTTTTCTCTATAGAGAGGAGGTCATACAATCGCATAAGTTCAATTCAGCTAAGAGTGCATTCATGGCTGCAGCCATGCCCACCACCCATAGCCTCCCTCGCAGCATTGCTGTCACAACCCACCCCCAGCATATCATGGCCCCCCCACCCGGAAGAGCCTGGCACAGCCCTGGCCCTAGCCCACAGCGGCAGCTCACCCTGCCTGTGCAGATCAGGGCACGCACCCACCATGCCTCCCGGAGTGCACATAGCAGCAGGAGCCACTCCCCCATGGGGGCCTCGATCTACCGCCTCCACACTCCTTCTCCACAACAGACTTACCTGCTGTGCTGGGCAGTGCTCCACAAGCAGCCAGGCCTCTCCAGGCTGTGGCTGTGTGGCTGTGTGACTGTGTGCACCCCATTTCACAGATTCATAGATTCATAGATTGTTAGGGGCTGGAAGGGACCTTGTAGATCATTGGGTCCAGTCCCCCTGCACTAGACAGGAAAAGAAAAGTGAGGTCAAATGACCCTAGCAAAGTGACTGTCCAGTCTCCTTTTAAAGATTTCCAGGGTAGGTGACTCCACCACCACTGGAGGGAGTTTATTTCAGTCTGAACACCCTGACTATGAACGAGTTTTTCCTGGAATTAAGCCTGAAGCGGCCTTCCAGGAGCTTGTATCCATTGCTCCTGGTCTTCCCCAGGGGTACCCTGGTGAACAGCTGTTCACCGAGTTCTTGATGTACTCCCCTGATATAGCAGTAAGCCACTACCAAGTCCCCTCTCAGCCTTCACTTCTGTAGGCTGAAGAGGCCCAAGTCCCTCAGCTTCTTCTTGTACAGCTTGTCTTGCAAGTCCCTGATCATATGGGTGGCTCTTCTCTGGACCCTCTCTAGTTTTTCTACATCCTTGTTGAAGTGCAGTGCCCAGAACTGGTCGCCAGCTGTGGTCTCACCAGTACAGAGTACAGTGAGAGTATCACTTCCATAGTTTTGCATGAGATGCAGCCGTTAATGCATGCCAGCATGTTGTTTGCCCTGCTGGCCACAGCATTGTACTGCCGGCTCATGTTCATGAGATGGTCAATCACTAGCCCTAGGTCTCTTTCAGCTATGGTGCAAGTCAAATTGTTGCCACTGAGCCTGTAAGTATGTTGGGGATTGTTTGCCTCCAGATGGACCACCTTACACTTCTGAGTGTTGAACTTCAGCTGGTTCCAGTCCACCCAACTCTCCAGCCTGTCCAGGTCTTCCTGTATCTGCAACCTATCCTTTGTGAATTTTTTCACAAGGACATCATGGGATACTAGATTTCTGGAAGTCTAGGTATATAATGTTGACCTTCTCTCCCATGTCCAGGTGGTGAGAGACCTGTTCATAGAAGGAGATGAGATTGGTAAGACAATTCCTACCTGCAACGAAGCCATGCTGGCTGTCGTTCAGAATCTTACCCTCAACGAGCATATTGTACATAGATTCTTTAATGAGTTTTTCCAGGATTTTCCCTGGGATGGAGGTTAGGCTGACTGGCTGATAGTTGCCTGGGTTTTCCCCCTTCCCCTTCATGAAAATGGGCACAATGTTGGCTCTCTTCCAATCCTCAGGGATCTCCCTTGTGTGCCATGATTTCTGAAAGAGTTTTGCTGGGGTTCTGCAATGACCCCAGCCAGCTCCATCAACACTCTCAGGTGAAGTCCATCTGATCCTGCTGACTTATAAATGTCTAGCTTTTCTAGTTGATTTTCCACCAGCTCAGCATCCACAGTGGGAAAGCTATCATTCCCACCATGCCCCCTGTGATCCTTATCTTGCTTGTCTTTCCCCTTGGTCTGGTGAAATACTGAAGCAAAGTGGGCATTCAGGAGTACAGTTTTTTCCTGAGTGTCCAGTACCAACTGTCCCAAGGTGTTAAATAGGCACCCCACACTTCCATTTGTTTTCCTTCTGCTCCCTACATACCTAAGGAAGGACTTCTTATTGTCCTTGACTCCCTTGGCTAACTTAAACTCAGTTGCCATCTTAGCTTTCCTAATCATTTCCCTACAAGTATGGACCACTGTTGTATAGTCCTCCTTGAGGACTGTCCCTAGCTTCCACTGTATGTACGCCTCTTTTTTCTTTTTCAAGAGGACCATGATGTTTCTGTTGAGCTAGGGAGGGCTTGCCAGCCCTTCTGCTACTTTTCCTCTTCATGGGAACAGTTTTCTTTTGTGCTTCAAGGAGCATGTCCCTGAAGAACGACCACTCTTCATGCATCCCTTTTGCTTTCCATCTCTGGTGCTGCATCACCTTCCCTACTAATACCCTAAGCCTGTTAAAGTCAGCATTTTTGAAGAAGCTACATGACTGATCTGACCTGCATTTTCAAAAACAGTTATCTTAGCGTCTTCCACGTGGGAGCTTTCCTGTGTGCCAGTCCCCAGGCATACTCCATTTTTCATTCTATGAACCCCCCCCCCCAGAGTGGTGATGCATAGGGGCTGCACAGGGGTGCACATGCACCCCTTGAGAGTGCTGGTGCATCCCCTGAAAGGCAGCACTCCCCACTTAGGTGATGGGCCAGGGGGTAGGTGGGAGTGCCGGTGTCCCTGCTGTGAGCACTGGCTGGGGAGTGGGGGCACCAGGTGAAGTGCCACTGGCACTTCTGGGAGTGCTTGTGCTTCCTGGCCAGCATGATCAGCTGTGGGGAGACCTGACTGGCTGCTGGGGGGGCACATGCTTCTCCCCCAACTGAGGTGGCACCAATCGCCCATGCCTCCCCACCTGCTGCAGCTGCCCAGAGCCTGTGCCTGGGTTGCTCCGTGGCCCTCTCCACTGCCACCACTGCATCAGGTTTGTGGGGGCTAAGTCCCATTAGCCCCAGTATTCTGCCA